CCTTAATGATTCTATGATTCTCTGATTTAACACAATATAAAAATCAATTTTTAATCTGTAGCCTCCAAAAAAAAGAAGAGTTTTAATAAAAAAACCTGTTTATAAAAAATTGAGCAACAGCAAAACTCTTCCACTGTAAATGGTAAAGAAGCATGCCAAGGCAAACAGCATGCATCTGGAACTCAGCTTTCTAGTACAGGGTCTTTATCACGGACTGACATCCACACTCGATCCCTTCAGACCATGTAGCAATCATCAGTTATTTTGTGTTTGTTAGTCTCAAACTCCTTCAATTCAACAGTTTTTTTTTTTCCTGTGTAATTTCCAGTTATACAAAAAAAAGTTACACGGGACTCAAGTACATCAAATATGCAGCTGGCAGAGAGTCCAAGTACAATTTAGAGCTTGGCTTCTTTTTAGTTTTTCTTTTCCTTTCTTTTTTTTAAATGTAAAGCTTAACATGATATTCTAAACAATTCTCAAAGCTCCACTGCAAAGTAATGAAACTAATCAGCTGCTCAGTTACATTTCCTGTAAGCATACTTCATCTGTAAGAACGCAAACAAGAAATTTTAACATTCTAACATACTATACAATGAAATGCTGCAGTTAACTGTCCTGGGGGACACAATTGTCTTTCAAAAAAATGCAATTACTGCAATACTTCCAGTTCATTGATACAGGCAAGTTTCATTTCACACAAAAACATCCTTAATATGCTCCTGAAGTACAAGTCTTCTCTATAAGGATATGCAAGAACATGCTAAAATTTAATATCTACTCTGGGAATCTGAAGAGTGCATTATTAGTCATCTGTTTCTTCCTCCTATGTTACACCAGGCTATTTTTAGTGTTCTTTTAAGCAAAAAAACCCACAATTGTTTGAAATTTACAAATAGCCACTTGTAAAGAAACAATACCATATACATTTTCCCTTCATTAACTTTCTTTAAAATGTTTTTCATATACAATGAATTCATAATTTGTATTCGAATAGCAATCTCAGAGTATCTGTCATAAGCACAGTCAGTCCCTCTTAAGTAAAGTAAATTGTTCGTTCTACAATGAACACCTAATTCTTTTTTAAAATTATCACCAATACCTACCATAGGTAAGCGTGTAAGTAGCTTTCCCAGTTGTATCCAATGCTGTCAGACAAGGGGCTTTCGGCTGGGTAGTTCCCCAGCGCTGCAGGGCCGCCAGCAGAGAAGGTGGCCAGTTGGTTACCACGCCTAAGGGTTCACCTTTAAGTACATTCATTTGATTTCCTTCAGGCTTTGGTTGATTTGGGTCAGGCTGTTGCACTAAAACCAGAGCACAGTAAAATAGCAAATGTCAGTCCTCACAAAATGTGCAAGTTACGCTTAATAGACTATTCTACGAACCGTTCTCACCTTCCTCTTCCTCACAGCTATCATTACTTCTCTTCTGCTTTATGATGATGCTATGCTAATCATCTGTTGGCTTCACAAAAAATAATTACCACCACTTTGGAGTTCTGTTTCCACATTATTCAAAGGACCTGGCCACAGGAACAGAATTTGAATCCCTAGTTCACTCTTTTTCTCTACTTTGGAAAGATGATTTTTTCTGCTGTTTGTTCTGCACATGTATTTAAATGAAAGCCAACGCCAAGTCAAGAAGCATTATCAGAAAGAATGGCTTCAGCGACAATTGGACATTTATTTTTGCTGCACCAAATTCTCAACAGGTGATGAAGAATGACACTATGCTTCTGTAACAATATATATATATAAAAAAAAAGCCAGATGAAACGCTCCCGGTATGGATTATCTACAACTAAAACTGTACCGCTCAGAGAATATTTTGTTTGATTTCTGGATCATTTCTCTCAACTGTGGAACACTGCAGGGTTTGTATGCCATTTGTTCTCTGAGTATCCTGCTGTTAAAATCCTGCCCCAAGCTGCTCAAGAAGGTGAAGTATCTTGTTCTTAGTTAGCAAAACAAAGTCATAGTTGGATTTAGCTAATACTCAATCTCTGCAATAACTAAAATTAACAGTTCAAAGTGATGCTCTGTCCTCTCCACAATGACATACATGCACTTCTGCGAAGGTTTGCCTGAAAAATCTTCAGTGAAATTCTAGAACCGCAATCACTTCATATCTTGAAGTATCAAACAAATAGTACAGGGAGTCTAGTAGCAGCTGCTCAAAAATGTCACAGAGAACAAAATTTTCATTTAATCTTTAAGACTAAGAGAACAGAACAAAAATCATTCTCCAAAATTAGCTGATGCAGCTGGTTTTAAAGGCAGCTACCTTTGCTAGCAACTTCTGCATTTGTTAGAGATGCTTTTCTTTCTGCCTGGACGCACGCATACAGAGAAGAAAATAGTGGTTTTTAGCTGAGCAATATCTGCAGAGCATGTACAAGCACTATCCTTTCATGTAGTGCACAGATAAGACATATTGCACAGTGCACTCAATGCATTTAATTCCTCTGAACCTCCAAAATAATGAAAGTTTCTGGATTTCAAGGAGAGGATATTAACATGCATGCAAACAATATTATCATAATAAATTCCAGTTACTAGCAAGTAACTTTTTTCATCTAACTATATTTGGGCACTAACCAGCTACAAAGCAGCTGTTCAGAGCAGGATGTGGGGGTGCTTGTAGACAAGCAGCTGAATGTGAGTGGCCAGAGAGGCCATGGAAACTCCATGTCTGGAGATGCTCAGAAATGGACTGGACATGGCCCTGAGCAGCCTGATCTAGTCAGACCTGCTTTGAACAGGAGGTTGGTCAGAGGCTTCCAGAGGTCCACTGCTCCATCAGTTACACTTAGGCTATGCCCTGACTTACTCCAAAGACTCCCCTCTATAAATTAGCTGATTACCACAGGGAAGAGTTTAGAATCTCTGAGGCAAAAAGTGATGGTGGGACCATCAAACATGACAATTTCTGGATGCACCAATGAAGTTCTTGACAAAGATATAAATAGAATTCCTCCAAATATCTGTAAATCACTGTCTTTAGTATTCACTAACTCATCACACTGGTCCAAATTGAGCTGAATCTGAAGAGTTTCCAAAGCGAGGGAGGAGGGCAGAGAACAAGTACACTGAGTAGGAGGGTTGAGTTGAAGATTATGTTTCACTTGTGACAGCATATGACCTTTCTCTCTCCAATGAAACAACTCCACCATGATTTGTTTTCTATTGGGAAGAGAAAAAGAAAACACTTGCTAAGATGTATCAGTTCTGTTGTGAACCGCTTACACAGAGTGAAAAATGTATTTGAAAGAAAATTGACCTTCTAGCAGTTCTTCAAAATCATCAACAAAAAACTCTTTCAAAGGTGGACGCTTTGGTCTTTTCAAGGTATTTAGAAGCTGCTGGATTTTAGAGGACACTCTGCTATTCACTGGTACACCTGCCAAACAGAAAAGATTTATTACTTACCATATATTAATAAACGTACACTAAACCACATGCTGCCACACTGCTGACAACATCACTCTAAGCTCAGCACAGCTTTCAGGTGGAAGGGTCATTCAGGATGAGCAGCTTGTTTGGAAAAAACCAGCTTTAATCAGTAACAGTTTCAACCATGGATTTATTTGTTTTAAAACAATGCTGTTCCCTAGCTACCTGGCTGATGCATATACCTTATCACACTTTAATTTAGCTTTTCAAACTGCTGACTTCATGAGATTCCAATACAAACCTGAAGAATGTTCTTTTCTTCAAGAGTCTAGGTATTTGCTACATCTTAACATTTATTCAGTCCCGAAAGTCTGAGAACGCTTGGAAAAAATAAGTGACTCTCTCAATATTTTACAGAGTTAGCAAAAAAAAAAAAAAAAAAAAAAAAAAAAAATCACAACACAAAGCCACGTGGAATGCTGATTTTCATTTGTATATGTGATATATTTATTTTAAATTAAATATAAATGTGTATGGTTATTTATATTTATTGAAATTTAAACCTCTGAGGCAATATAAATTTAAAATGTGAGACTAAAGGGCTTACATTGCCTTTTACTATAGAAATATACAGAAATGGGGACATGGCTCGCACCAGCAGAACACAGGAAATGCAGTACAGTTTCCTCTCCTGTGGCTGACTGACCGATACACCACACTACTGCAAAACTTTGGAGAGGGCAGGCACATAGTACCTGATGGGTGTCAAGCTCTGTTATGCATTTGCTTATTCAGAAAAAGGGACATAGGAAGGAGGTTTATAATACAATTACCATCTGCAGTTTCCAAAATGCTGCTGTTGTAGCCTCTGGGAACTCCTCGTACTGATGCTACCTGTGGACGCTCATGATGTAAATGTTCCACCAGGCCAGTGGTTACATCTGGAGGTGCAGAGTGGTTATCTGTAGAAATGGAAGACAGATGTGGGAGCTCATCAGTCATCTTAAGAATCAATATATCCAAAGTCGCTTCGTACAGCATTCTTGGTTTTTCTCATGTGTTTTTAACAAAACTCTGATTTCTCTAATCAAACTGTAACCAAAATCTTCTAGATACAGGGGGAATCCTGAAAGGAACTGCTGTGTCTCTCCAGGGTGGAGACAAGTTATTCCAACTTTCAAAGGGATCCCAACAAATTCTGACAAATAAAGAGAGTGGTGGGTCACTCCATCACTTCAAGGTGAAAGCAAGGAGATTCATTACGAGTGAACAGCACAAGTCTACAAAGAAAGCCTGTCTCATATCTCTCAGAAGAAATACAGGCACCCAAAGTCTCACCACAAAACTGGAATGACTAGTCTAAGTCCCATAGGAAGAGAAAGGGACAAAAGTATAAGGTTTATAAGAAGGGAACTCTTGCCCTAGGATAACATGAAGTATTTATCTACATTCTGCAGGCTGTAAGAGGAAGACTTTTGCTGAGAAACACAGATTAAGATTTAAGATGGCAAAAAGAGTGCATTTAGGTCTGAACACATCTTGAAGATGGACACGGAGAGATGAGACACTCCCTCAGAGGAAAGTAACTGCTGACTTAAAAAATTGTCACCTGCAGTTTGTGAGACCAGTCATGTTTTTTTTTTAGCAGCTTTTCTTATCACCTGTTTTTAACAGTCTCACAATGATACTGTAGGTAAAAGCTTCCTGTTTATGTTGTGGTACAGACACAGTATACTCTTCACTGCGGCATCTATCAATGAGAACAGCTGGAATGCCTGTAACACTCAAAAAACCCTGTGGTGTAGATGTCAACATTACACACACACACTGCTTACAACAGATAAATTTAGCACAGGGTTTTCTGAGGCTTGAGGTGGTCATTTGTGGCTGGACACGATACACTGTTTCATTTTAATGGTGTTACATAGGGAAAGCAGGGCATTTCTCAAATCCTCACATACTCACAGGGGCTTGAGAACCACCTTGTAACAACCTTGAGGCAAAAGCCTGCTTTGCTTGGAGCTGCACCACGTTTCTGTGCTGCAGAACAATGCTTAGGGAATACTGTCATTCCAAAATTGTGACCTAGATTATGGAACAGTTTTGAATGGAATCACATGTTAGCAAATGGCAGTATCCGGGCAAAGTGTTCAAACAAGGAAAAACAAGAATTGGAGGCCTGAAATATTCAGAATCCTAATGAGTAAAAATAGGAGTGCAACAGGAAAGAGCTGCCACACTGCACTGGAGGAACTGCTTGGGGAACAGCTCTGCAGTGATACCCCTTGAAGGACCTCAGCATGCCACAAATCCTGCAGGAAGAACTCAAAGCATAGGGAGATCTAGGCAGTGCTGTGAAATACATCTATTACCTCACCCATTCTGAGGAAGCGATTAGCACTAAGATAACAAGTGCTCATAGCTCTGTTCACAGATTTCCAGAGCTGACATACAAGCCACCAGTACATCTCTAAGCGGTTTTAGAGGGATCACCAGAAGAAAAGATTAAATCCATTCCCACACTTTCCAGTGGTCCTCACTGCAATGCCAATTCTTGTATTGCAGAGGCCTGTCTTGCTGGGTACTACGCAAGGACCACAAATTCCTTTCATGTGGGTAAGAAGGACAAAGTATCACTTAATGTCTCTGACAAATACCCGAGTTAGAAACAGTAAAAAGAAAAGGTAACAACTATGTGTAAAACTGATCCATATAACCACTTTACAGGGCATATAGAAAGCCCATGTATTCAGAGTAAACTGAAACGCTTTTGTTGTGTTCTATATACTTTCTGAGTTGCTTTTTTGTTGTTTTTTTTCCTTTGCTTTACCGAAGTCCCAAAACACGGACTTCAGGCAGCAAACAAATTAATCACAGAAAAGGACACAGAGTCAAAAGTACCTGGTTCCCATACTGCAGTATTAGCCCACAAGTCCATACTTCTCAACTTACAGACCCTGCAGTGATTATCAATGTCTAAAGCTTCCACTCCTTGAATACACCAGCAAGAACTACAATTAGGGATGTATCTGCAGTGTGGCTTTATCAGCGGAAGGTCCCAAAATGCCATTCCTACAGATGAAGTTGTCACCACTAAACACTAAGGTGACTCAAAATGTACACTTGAAGTGATGTACACATAGGTACAAATATAACAATCAAGAGAGGACAAGAGAGACTGACACACACTATGAGACTTGATGCACATATGGGTCAGAAGCCATTCACAAAATACAGAAGTTGAAATGCTGAACGGATGATGTGACTTCAGGAATAAAGTTAATTGGATTTAGACTGAAGTACCTTTCCCTTATTGATTAGAAGACAGAGATAAATGCAAAAGAGACCAGTGGCCCAAGAAAGAGCATATGGGATACGATACAAAAAATTAAAAGCTAGGCATTGGACAGAAAGTAGTCTCTAAGGAGGAATCTCAGGGTGGAGACTTAAACACTTTAGAAAAGTCCCTACCTAGCAGGAAGTTGGGTTAGACCTAGAGATGGCTGTGTATGATTGTTTTGCCTCTAGGAAATCACTCAACCAAAACAGACATATAAAAGAAGTTTATTAAATTGTATTGGAATAATAAAACAAAAAAGAGCGCACCAACCCAGCCAGAACACAAAATAGGATCCACAAGACACTACTTCATTCTCACATTTCCTCTTCAATAAACTCTTTGAAACTGTTTCTAACACACTTCACACTCACAACTCCTTTAAAACTGCTTACAGAGCCACAGCAGTTCAAAACACCTACTCTTATAACCCTGCTTCACCTTAAGAAAAAGAATTGTACTTTTAAGTCTTTCAATAAATAGATAGTGCGTCAAATACCATGATATTTTCCCAGTTACTCTACAAGAGCTAAATTGGGAAATACTCCACAGTTGTGATGGTGACCTTGAAAAAAACCTAGACATACTGCTAGCCTTATTCATTTTAAAGAAAATACTACACTAAAAGAAAAAAGCCCCCGAAACAACATATAGATGTTGTCCTTGCTTTTATAGGTGAAAGACAAACAGCTTAAAAATAATACATATTCCTATCTGACTTTATTAAATACTGCAACCTTGCACTTCCAACACTGCAGTCTATTGCTTGGGAATTTAGTATGATCTCATCATTAAAAATGCAAGCTGGAGAAGATGAGCTGCAAGGGAACAATCTGCTAAATTTAAATTCTCCAACATATCAAAATTGTGAATAGTTATTCAGTACATTGTCAAAATACAGAATATTTTAGTAAGGCATAGTATTTAAAATATGTAAGATGCCTTTTATATTGCTGATGTCAGCATATTAACTGAGAAAATAAATAAACTCTTCTTTTATGCTCTAGGACAAATCAAAGGGGTCCTTTGTGAAAGTATACTAGTATTTATCAATAACCAAAAAAGTTTGCAATGTAAGAACTGCGTAAGTCTTCATATTCTTGTGAGCAAGGAAGACTATAGACAAACTTGTTGATTAATTATTTTAATTATTAATTATTTTATGAAAAATGTTACAACTGAATTGTTACTGGACATGCATGTATGTTACCAAGCTAGAAATGAAAATTGATGGAATATGGCATGCATTTCAGAAATGAGGAAGATTATTCATATGCAAAAGGACATTTAATTTTCTGTCAAAGTAGATCATCACCTTTAGCAGCTCAGCTCTTAATGATCCCTGAGCTTCCTTCCTGATAGATACTGTAACTGCATATTTATTTCCCATTAATGAAATTTCAAACTACTCCACTGCATGCAGTCCAACATTTAGCTACTTAAATGCTGGAATTTGAACTGTTAAAAAGGCCTTGATTTTGCATACAATTTTGATGATTAAATAGTCCTGATGGATAGGTGTCAAGAAGCTAGTTGTGAAATTCAATATGTATTTATATGGCCTGAGATATTAGACATAATAGGATGCTGTGTTACATTTTGCATATCTTGCAAGTTTTTACAGCTATATTAAGAATTTCATCAACCACACTTAAAATTACGGCTAACCTTCCAAGTTTATTTGTTAATTTTAAGGAGTTAAACATGATTCCTATAAATCCATAATGTGAAATCCAGAATGTCCTTAAAGAAAGACGTAGACATATTCCATCTTACTTACATCCACTAAGTAAAAAAAAAAAAAAAAAAAAAAAATTGCAAATTTCTTATTATAAATAAGCTTGGAAATGGGAAGATGAAAATTCTTTAAAGGCAGTAAGATGGGTATGTTTTATACAAACAGGAAAAATTTCACTAGCAATAAAGCCACAAAAGTTAACCCAAGAGGCAAATCTTTCTAACTATGTTTATGGATGGAGTACTGATGAAGTGCAGAAAAATGAACAAAGCCAAATGCTGCCCATAACTTTTTAAGTCCAGAACAAAACCCAACATCTCAGCATGCAGGAGCTTTCTAAGGCAACAGCACTAAGCAGGCTTGCGGAAAAACGCTTTGCCTTGTAAAAGCTTAGATATCAGAATTCCTCTCCGTACTTAGCTACCAAAATAAAGAGATCCCCATACAAACAGAAGAGGGAGAAAAAGCACGTAGGAAAGACACAGATAACCCTTCCCAGACTCTCTGACATCTAAAGAGCCTTCCAGAACACTGGAAACTACTACCTCTTTCCATCTCAGCTCCACTTGCAGAAAACTGCCTGCACTGTGAAAACTGGGATGTCATTCATGGCAAAATGAGTCAATCCCTGTTTCTGTCAGCACCTAAGCCACACAGAAGATCCAGAGCATCCTCTTTTGGAGAGCCTCTAGCTTGTTCATACTCCTTTCCCTGGTTCATAATGTGCTTTAGGAATCTGAAGAAGTAAAACTCCCGGTCACAAGCATTGGTTACATTTTGAAGCCCATAGCTACTATAAACTAAGGCTAATGCCCCAAACTTAGTATAAGGCAGAAGGAACTCAGAGGGCAAACAAGCAAAGAATGGAGAATCAACCCTCTCATGAATAGTTGCCTCACGCCTAAGAGAACTGTGAACTGTTTGTATCATCTAAACAGAGAAGTCTGAAGGATATATGATTGGGCTTTCAACAAAATTTGAACCTAACAGCTAGACCAGCTAAATGAACGGGTATTTGCGAAATATATTTGTGCCTTAAATTATCATGTTAATTGACATCTCTAAGTATACAGAAGCCTGTATGCTCAGTTTAAATCTAAAGCATTTGAATGTGTTTTCCTCATCTGACCTAACCTATTCTCTGTAACGAATTAGAAAAAACTGTCTGTATAGCATTTGTAGGCATACAGTCACAGATAAACAAAAAGTCAGGTAAGTAGAGCACTAAAACTGCCAAAATCTGAAACGTCCAGGAACAATATACGTGATGCCTATTGCATATTACCAGAAGCACAAGAACTTCATGCTGTAGCCCATAGGTAAAATACAAACATCATTCTTCATTTCACTTTTCTAAATTACTTTGGGGAAAAAAATTATTTGAAATACAAAGTTATCGTTTCTCCTCTAGGTCCTTTCCCATTGTTTAACATTAGTGTGGACCTGTTGCACGCACATAAATCCACTATCAATCTTTACTACAGCATACAAAACATTGTAAAAATTATATCCACGGTGGAAGAGACGGCCTTTCTCCCTCCCTACCAAATCCTCCCAAAGCACAATGCTAGTGCTCTGCATTTTAGGACAAAAAAAATAACCTGAAGTTCTGGACCTTCAGCATCACAGAGATTGAGACAAAACTCACATTTACATTTTGGCTTACCAGTACTTCTACATTTTCACTCTAGTTTCACAATGAAAGACTATTAATGACCTAAATTTTAATTAAAGGGAAAAAATCACATTTCAGCTTGAAATCTAGTTTTGTCAGTACCTCTGATTTCATAACTTTCCAAAAGATTCTGGATGTTTTTCTAGTCTTTTGGGTGTTTACCAATTGAGTCACCTTTGAAATCCATAACCTGATACTGTCTAGGTATAAATACATGCAGATTGGAAAGCATGCACCAAAAATATGATCCCTTTGAAATTCTGCTTTTGAATACAGTAAAATTGAACTTAGTTTCTTGATAAATCAAGCATTTTACCAAGAAGAATGCATGTTCAGATCTCATGAACAACTGGTTTGGTTTAAATTAAATACATATATATCATACATACCTGGTCTGTGGATTGTACGTTTTAAGGCCATTTATAGATATCTTCTGGCAAAGACTTTTGTCTTTAGCCCTGCTTTGGGATTTTTAATTTGATTTTATTCCAACCACACAGGCAGTTCTTTACTGACCTAGCTGGGTGTGTGCCATGAGATCTGCAAGCACAGTGGCAGCAGCGGTGGCAGTAGCAGTATTGGAAGCAGCAGCAGGTTTCCCTCCTGGATGAGATGAGGTGGAAGATGCAGAGGATGAGGTGGAGGAGCCCTGAATAACCCGGTTAAGCCAGGGCTCTACGTTGGAATGGCTCTGGAACGGAGTGGAGGTGATCCGCCCTTGCCGACGTAACGAGCCCTCATCTTCTGATGCTGACGATGTGTCTGTGATTAAAATAACGATGACAGGCATGTAATGTGGGAATGACCCAACAGACGGGAACATGAAGTTTTTCCATGTTCTTCACGCAGCATTCTCATGTGCTACACATGAGATGCATGTATTAAGCAAATGGTATATTCACATGCACAAAATCTGATCATTGCCATTTAACTTCTACACATTATAGCTAGAACACACTTGAAGCAAAGTTTCATTTACCTCCTGTATTTGGAATGACGTTAAGACTCAAAAAAGTCTTCTACCTAAGGGACCCACTACATTCACTAACCATTCTCAGTGAGCATACCATACCTATTCCACTGAAAGAATATTTCTGTTCTGAACAAGTAAATTTGATCTCATCTCACCTAAATAAATTCCATTACATTTTTAATTGGGTATTTTCTTTTCTTTTTGTGGGGGGGAAATTCTTCACTTTTCGATTCTTTTGACAAATTTTTTGAGAACTAATTACTAAAAAAAGCACAGTGCTATGAAGTTCAATGGAAGAGTGATTTCATTTATCTAAGAATAATTAAAAGGCATTTAAAAGCATGTATTTTAACCACATAAACTGATATTAATGAGCACTACACAGAAATGCTTAGTAAAGCATCTTTTCATTCTGGATGTATATTTGTTGCTGTTAGAAGTCTGATAAAGGGCTCCTATTTTAATTACCATTCAGTTATTTACAACTTTCCAGAAGTTTCCCTTTGGCACTCAATCTTTCCACATTTATTATCCACTCAGTAACAAATAAAAAGGTCTTTCTAAATATCAAGAAAATACATCTCTGTTGATTTGGAGTGAAAAATAGAAACTTTTGTTACAGAAAAAGATTCTTGCCTTCCTAAAGAGACTGCTGTATTTTAAGAACTTGATCCTCTGTATGCCCCCCTACCTCTCCCCCGGGTAATTAAAGGAAAGCTCCTAAAACAATGCGTTGCCCATACACTGATAAAGTTCACATCAATTCAGTTTGTGAAGAGCAGTTTTAAGTCACACGTAACGGTCAGACGAATTAAGAAGTCAGCAGGAGCTGAAAAACAGCTTCTGAAAAAGTTAGGGTGTCCATTACTATACTCTGGAGTCCTTTCCTGACATAGAAATCCTGGGTGATAGTGGGGTGGGTTACCTCAGAAATTCTGCAATCTTAATTTTGGCTTTTTTTTTTTTTAATCCTCTGAACATGTTAACTGTTTAGCTATATACAATTTCATATAAATTTTGTTGAAGCCACATTAAAAATCTTTTCCTCATCTTTGGCAACAAATTTCAGTTACCAGGTGTTTAATTTTCTGCTTTTCAAGAATATGTGCCTTTCCAATAGCTTCAGAATAATGGCTCTTAAACAGTCTAAAACCACCAAACCCAGAAATCGTTTCATAAGAAGCCTGTTTAACTCAATGGCATTCTCAAAGTTAAAATCGCAGATCTCATTACTTGACCATCCCTAGTCAAACATGCCAATTTTGAATGAAAATACACAAACAATTGATCTTTGAGAAGATACAGCTGTGGTGGTTCACCAAGGGTCTGTGCCTTGTATGGTATTTCTGGTCTACTGCCACGGTTTGTAAGTTTTGGCTGCTGACTCCATCTGTTCCTGGAGAGGAGCCAAACCTGTCCCATAGTGCTTGCAACCTTCCCTTTCTTTTAGGCAGAAAGTAAAAATAAACAATTCCAGGAATATGGAACAAGATAGGATTACAGCCAGGTTTCGAAGAAAAAAACCGACCCACATTTGCAATCTACTATCACTTCAGAGTAAGAAATAAAACCACAGAAAAAACAGGTTTCTCAAAGAATACGTACTCTGATAGTATCTCCTTATCCAGATACAAGTTCAATGAAGTCTCTCTAAAATTTCTAAGCTTTCAGATGTCTTACATAGGTGGAGGGGGAAAAAACCCCACTTTAAATGTAAAATATTAACTGTTTATAAAAACGAAGGATCCATTGTAAAAACATTCTAGTATCAAAATATAATTACAACAGAAAAGTAGCAAGGTAACATCAGTAACTAGCTCTGTGGCAGTCCCAAGAGTTAATTAGTGGTTCTCAGTGTGCTGTGAGCAGAATGCTATGTACTTGGCTTGCAGCTCTTCCTGGCTGGGAGCTGACCCAAGATAGCCAGAGAAACCACCACCCTTTGGACCAAACTTGCACCAAGACTACAGCTCAAGTTCTCATCACGTAAAATCCATACGGGAAGGATGAGAGAGTCAATGGGACGAAAACAAAAGTACATTAAAATTTTTGGAAGGATGACTGAATAAAGCAGTTCCATTACTGCTGGCCAGGAGTTGCTTTTGAACTTAACATTGTGATTAGAATCCGATGCTTCCTTCCTGGTGACTGATGGTAACTGTTTGTAACAAAATTTCAGTTATTAAGAAAGCCTGGTTTTAATTGCTTTAATTTCTGCTAATACAAGGATTTTAAGGCTCTGGTTTAATGGCTCAAGAGACAACAAAACTAGATGCTTCAGCGCTACTCAGGTTCTTTGCAATCCTGCTGAGCTAGCTTTGCAAATAAAGGCAGGCCCATAAAAAGACAATTATCTTTGTGAATTGATATAGCTGAAGCAATTCCTCAGAATATTTTTGAACGGCCTTGTTCTCCTATGATACAGAATTCATCCAGTGGCCCATTCCTTATAAAGATAAAGGTATCTCCTAACAAGTCACCTTCTCTTAGAAACAGCACGACAGATCCCAGAGACACTTAACTCTTCTTTCAGAATATGTTAATTCGGATGCTTCTGTATACTGCTGAAGCCCAGGCACACTATATTTGT